TTTTAAAATTTTAATATATTAATTACAAATTTTATCTTTAATAAAGATAGAATATTAATATTTTTATTATTATTTAAATTAAGTAAAAATAAAGAAAAAAATATATTTTTATAAATATTAGTTAAATTTAAATATTTTATATATAATTAAATAAAAAGTTAAAATAAAAAATTATTAACTTTATTCTTTTTATAAATATTTAACTATAATTAAAACTGAAATTACTTTTATAAAATTAAAAATATAAATATTTTTATATTAACTATTTATTATATATTAATTAATATTAAAAATAAAATATAAAAAGTTATATAATAAAAAAGAATACTAAAAATATTAACTTGATTTTACAAAATCAAAAAAGAATAAATAATTAAATAAATTAAAATTTAATATTTTTAAATTAAATAAATATAAGTATTTTTAAAAAAATAAAGTTATTAAAAAGTTTATATATTAAATAAATTTATTATTAAATTATATAATAAAAGAATAATAATATAAAATTAAAGAATCTTTTAAGTAATTTTAACTATATATTAAATAATATTATTTTTAATAAAATAATAATTTAAATATATTATAATTAAAATTTATTAATACTTTATTAATAATAAATTAATTTTCTTAATTAACTATTTTAATTATTAAATTTTAACCTAATTAAATATTTATTAAATATTATTTATATTATCTTTTAGAGTTAATTTTGAAAAAAGAAAATTTATAAAGAAAATTCAAGATATATAAAATAATAGTAATATTAAGATTTATATAAAATTTATATTAAAAAGAATTATTAATTAATAAAAATTTATAATATTTATATAAAATAATAATTAAATAAAAAATTATTAGCTTTTTAAAAATATATAAAAAAGTTAAAATTTGTTAAGCTATTTAATTTTATATTTATTTAAAAAATAAATATAATATAATATAAAAATTATATATATTTAATATTTATAAAAAATTTAACTAAATAAAATTTTATTAAATTTATAATATTTTAAATTATAAAATTATATTAATAATACTTTTAAGTCTAATAAAAAGATAAATTTACTTAAAAACTTTTAATTAAATATAATATTATTTTTAATTTAATTATTATTTATTAAATTTAAATTAATAATTAAATATATTAGAATAAAATAGAACTTTTTCATATATTATTTTATTAATTTATAAATTATTAATATATATTTAAATAAAGTTCTAGAATTTTAAAGAATATATAGTTAAATAATTTTAATATAATAATAATATAATTATAAATAAAAATAAAAATTAAACTATATATTATTAATAAAAAAATAAAAAACTTGATTTATATTATTTATATTTCTTAATTTAATATAATATTTTTAATATATAATATAATTAAGAATATTTATAAATTTTATAAATTTTAGTAAATAATATAATATTAAAGTTAAAGTATTAATTAGCTATTAATATATAATATATCTTTAATATTATAAATCTTTTAAATTTTAATAATATTAAAATTTTGTTAAATATTAAAATATTAATTAATTATTAATATATAATCTGATATAATTTTTAATTTTAATATTTTAATATAATTTTGATAAGTATTCTTAAATATAATTAAAAATTATTATAAGTTTTTAATTATTATTATAAAATTTAATTAAATATTGAATTTTTTAAATTAATTTTTTGTATATATATAAATAAAAAATATTAATAAAATACTTGTATAATAAAAATAATATATTAATAATTTTAAATCAAAATTTTTAAAAATTAATATATTAAAAATTAAATATTTATATAATAATAATAAAATATTTAATATAATTTAAGATATTATTAAAAATTAAATTTTAAATATTATTATAAAAATATATTAAAAAATAATTAAAATATAAAAATTCAAAATCTAATATTTCAATAGCCAACTTATTAAATTATATTAAATTTTTGTTATTAATATAAAATTACATAAATTTTAATATAATATTTTTAATTATTTCAAAATAATAATAATTTAATTTAAAGCAAAACTATCTATTCTTAAATTTATTAAATTAAAAAATAGTATTTTTTGCTACTAAATACTGAAATATTATATTTTAAAGCAATAATTTATTTTTATTACCATTAGAAATTGATTTTAAAAAGTAAATTAATTATCTTTATAATTATAATATATTATAATGCATAATCCAGAAGTTAGTTACATTGAAGAGTTATAAAAACAATAAGAATTGAGAGCTAGACTAAATATTATATAAAGCGAGTTGCACTAGGATGCGAAAGATTATCTGTGCCAATCTATAATGAAGGATTAAGTAATAAATGAGAGAAAGATATAATATAAGATAAAGAATTAATTTTAATTAACAAAAAGATTAATTAATAATAAACTCTAATTCAAAATAATAAAAATAATAATTCCAAATAACAAAAATATAATAATGTAACTTCAAATAGCAAAATATAATAAATATAAATTTAATCAACAAATATATGATAAATATAATTTATTAACAGAATTTCAATTATATAATCAAAAATAATAGGTTTCCTTCAACAAAAAATTACAATCAAATAATCAAATCAAAACATCTACTTTTTATGAAAAAGCGATTTGTTAAAAAAAATAAAGCTATCAATTTTGTTATAGCACAAAAGAAATAAAAGTTGAGATTCAATCAGGTAAATTTCAAAATTAAATTTAATATTTATTTTTCTTAATATCAATTTTGCTTTTTTTTCTGGTCCTTCTAAATTACTATTGCACAATCATTTAAATAAAAACTATCTGCAAGTTTCACAGGTCCTTAAGTACAAGATATAAATTAGTAAGAACCTTCACAAAGAAAGAAAAGAACAGCTAAAAATAAAGTATAAATTGTAAAATAAAAGTAATGTAATGTTTATACTTTAAAAATGTGAATTTTTGTAAGAAAATGCTAATATTTTGATGGATGTGGAGTAAGGAGACGATGTATAATATATGAATCTTGAACGATAATCAAATCTTGGAAGTAAAATGTGAATTTCTTCTTTTGGGAAGCGGCGTTGGTGTTAGTAAGAATCTTTATAAGAATTTATGGTTCGCGTTACAAGTTAAGAGTTTTGATAAGAATTTCTGGAATCGCGTTACGAAATGTGAATTTTTATAAGAATCTCTCAAGTTCCGTACCTTTTTCCGACATGTTCATCTGCATATGATAATCTTGTGATACATTACACAATAAAAATTAAAAAATTCATACAAAAAAATTAGAATAAAACAAAGCAGAACACTTTGACAAAACAAAAAATGTCCAATTTAGGCCATTTAGAACAATTACGTAACAATCGTTATTCTTTTACATAGTAAGAACTTATTCAAGCTTTTCTTCTTATAGCAATAGATAATTAATATACATACTATACTAAATTGATCATCCGAAAATCAATTAATTATTCTTTTTAAACGTCTATTACATATACATTATTTCTAATTTTTAGTTTCTCCTATTTGCTCCAAACATATAAACAAACATGTACCAAATACATACATAGAATTAATGTAAATAGGCCCGTTCTTGAGCCTCAGAACAAGTGAGATAAAATAAAGTTCAAAGTAATTAAAGAAGAATTACCTCTTGCTTTTTCACCTAAGGTTATACTTGACACCCATATCCAAAAAAGGAAATTTTTTCATCCCATATCCTAAATCCCACCCATATCCCATTTAAATATCTCCATGATTTTATTAATAATTTTTAATTTTTATTAAGTACATATATAAATATAGTTAAAAATAATATATATTTACAAAATTTCAATATATATTTAAATTAATTATTTATAAAAAGCAAAAAAAATTTTTTGTTCCATATCTCATATTCGAATGGGTAACAAATATACTTCAGGTTTTGTCGTTTTACTGGAAGAAAGCCGTATTGCTTTGATAATTGCTTTGGTTGCTTCCTTTTATAGGATAATTGAACCGTGAAAGGCCTTGTACGGTGTCATAACTCGTGAATTCAAGCAACTTAACAGAACTAATAATAAAAATAGCCTCCTTTATAGCAGCATACTCTCTTTTGCCCCTTTTCAATTAGTGTCTCATTTTATAATAAACATTTGCTTCCAAAATTCACAGTAACTGGCACAAGTCCTCTAGATACTCCGCAAAAGAAATCTGATTTTCCTCAAGATAACGCAGTCGAATCTTCTCCAGAACCTATCCCACTTTGAATGCCAATAGATCGGATAGACGCAACAGTACTAACAATTTTGAATTTTCATTACACAACATGATAAGCGTCCAAAATTGGAGATTTCACATTATTTTAATTTGACAATAATATGAAACATCACTATATGTATTATGCTGAAACGATAAATTTATATGCGGAGTTATTATGCAGAAACTAATTTAAGAACCGTTTTTCCCATTTAAGACTTGCAAAACTTGCGCGGGCTGAAGGCACTTTCTAAATATATACTATCTAGGTGCATATATTGTCTAATTGCATAAAATAATCTGTTTTTTATACATGTAGTAATATGCAATTAGATAGTAGATTTTTATTGGCGGATACTGTCTAAAAATGAGATTTTTTTTATGCATATACATGCAAATAGTATGCAATTAGACAATGTATGTAAATTTTCTTCACTTTTTATATATAAAATGGATTGTTCCGAATAAGATACCATAATTATTTACATGTGCTGTAATTAACTGCATAGAATTACCCCTCCATGTAATGTACCCAACCCCCTTTTTATTGTTTCTGATTTCTACTAACTAACCTTGGAGATAACAATCTTTTTTTTTTAAATTTAGCATTTGACATATCGAATTGATCACCCTAATAAGTGATTCTTTATAAAAATGTGAACAATTCAAACCCTTTCCAAGTAGTGGAAACAACAAATTTCAACACACATATTTATTCAATAATAAAAATTTATCAAAACGAAGATGAAAAAACCAACCTCTCTCGTGTTTCGTTTTACTCTGATCTTCATTTTTGTCTTCTCTTCATCGGTTGATGCCAAAACAAAGGAAATCGAATGCACTCCACACCTAGCTCGTTGCCAATTTGCTCCTAATATTACTCCAGCACAACAAATTCTTGGCGAGCTTTATTTCGTACAAATGCCTTATTGTTCTGTGCTTACCGATGGACAGCTCGATTTTCTTCCAGATGAACAGGGTTTATCCATGTCCCCTACGGGAAAATTGCGTCTGGGAATTTACGTAATTTATACGGGATATCATATTACGCATACGGGAATTTACTTAATAGCACGCAATGATTACGAATGTGCAAAGAACTTCATGGGATGTATGTCAGGGATGCAAAAGGAACTCGAAAAGTTTCTGCTCGGAATGCATAAGAAATTACGGACCGTACACGTAACGAAAAGAATGCATACGGAAAACTACAGACGTGTCAGGAACTTCATGGAAAGTATGTCAGGCATGCGTAAGGAACTCGAAAAGTTTCTGCTCGGAATTCGCAAGAAATTACAGACTGTAACGAACAGAATACATACGGAAAACTACGAACGCATGAGGAACACAAACCGTTGTTTGAAACACGCTAGTGATGCACACGCAATGCGAACACAATGCATGCGTAATGCACGGAAAATCATGGTACATGACCATAAGGAAACAAAAACCTTTGTTTGGGAATGCACATGGAAAAACGGTGTAAATAGATGCCAGCCCCGTAATCAACGATTTACACCTACTGATTCCGGTGCTATTTCGACACTCTGCTTATATTAATTTATTACGCAATGCTAAAATAAACACCGAGCCGTCCAATGAGCTAGCTGTGAACATAACCATTAGTTCGAAATTACATTCATTCAACTTATGTAATGTAATTTGTAGACGTAGAGTCATATGATTTATCAATCGTCATAGATTTCGTCAATCATCAATCGTCAATTCGTCAAATCTTTAGACAATAGACTATTGGGAATGTCGTGATTTTAGGCATCGGAAAGTTGATGTCTGAATACCTGGATTTGGACGTCGGATAGGGATGGGGGATCTTAAAAATCTCGATTTAAGGGGGAAGGGTTGTTTTTTAAAAACTGGTTTAATGTAATGTAGGTTTGGCTCAAACCAAACCAAATAAAACCATACCAAACTTTCTCAAAAATTTAAACCAAACCAAATACTCCATTGGGATGTTGGATAGGTTTTAGGAATGTTGGAAAATTAGATTTTGGGTGTTATCGGCATTGGGATTTTTCAAACTTTTTAATCAGATTAGATTAAAATTTTATGCATTTAATAAACAACACACTTTCAAAATTTGATCTTTATTAAATGTCATTTGAAAATACTAATATTGAAGAAGAGGTTACTTCTGTTATTTCTTATTTCCTGCTCGGGTTTTCACGCAAATATAAAGGCTTTAAGAGACGCGAACGAAATATACATTATAAGATATGCGTCCGCTTTTTTCTGAAATTTATACATGGAATTTTAATAGATGCACATGGAATATATAATATACATGTCATTTGCGTCTGAAAAGTATATGAAATTTTAAGAGATAGCGCGGAATATATAAGATATGCGCCTGCTTTTTTCTGAAATCTATGCGTTATTTGCGTCTGGAAAGCATATGGAACTTTTTAAATTTCGTACACATTTGTACGGGAAATGCACCCAATTGCGTACAGAATTTCATGACTTATTGCTGAAAAATTGCTTACGCATCACATAAAATTTCTGATACATTTTTGCCGTAAGGGTCATTATCTGCCTATGATATCCATATTACAGTTACTACTAACCAGGCAGATCCGTCCCGGGCGCAACTTTCTCGAAACAAAATATGTCTGGATCTTATCTCCAATCGTTATATTTTGCTATGCTTTGTATAGAAATTAATTTTTAAATTTTAACCTTTGTTCTTTTAATCATCTCATCTTTGCCATCTTGCGGAGATTTATTCAATCTAAATTTTATTTTCTCTTCTCTAGAGATAGAATTTGTATAGGTGTACTTTTACTGTTATTAATCGAATAAGAAAGTTACTTAGCATTAACAGTTTAGTCCAATTAGAAATTTATAATCTATATGCCGAGTGAAAATGTGCATCAATCCTGGTTTCGGAATGGTGACAAATGAAGTGAGTATTCCCTGGCGGTCTCCAAAAATATTAAATGCAAGGGTTTCGATTTCTGGATTCACAACAATAAATGAAACTTTGAACGTTTAATCCTGATTTACCTATTTCTTCATCCAAGGAAACTAACAATCCGAAATTGCGTACATGCATCTCGGAACTGATGAAAACTTTTATGGATATCCTACTACCAACCACATTAAAACAAAAATGCCGTTGTAAAAAATTCAAACACATAATACTGTACGTAATAGCAATACTTGACGTTAGCGTTAATAATAACGTCAACACACGGAATCACCTTATTCAATGAGGATAGCAATATAAAAATGCCATAGTTCCAGGCAACTTTGATCGTCTATGGACTTGTCTAATCAAGTATTGCAAAAAAATCGTTATTATTTTACCTATAGTGACTCACTAAAAAAACGGAACGCGGAAAAAAATGGCGAGATTCGAATACCTCGCCATTGAAGAATTATCAAAGACCAAAAGAAAGTGGATTTTATTCATTAAATAATCACAATCACTTAATACAATTATTATTTTCATCTATCTTTTGAAATTAAACTAACATGAATTTTTAATGTTTTTTAACATTCCGTCTATTGTGACCGATCTGGAGGATAATTATTTAAAGGCAAGTTTCTCCTTAAGGAAATATCAGCCATTGTTAAAAAAAACTATCACACATCGCTAAACTATGTCTACCATTCTATATATCCACCTCTACATCATTGACCCTTTGTGGCATCGAATTGATCAACCTTTCACAAAAGTTAATTTCGATGCGCCTCCAAGCAATTTGTAGCTTTTCCCACAAATTGGTTTTATTTAAAAGTGAACCAGAAAGATTCCGCAAGCGTGTATCGATTGGATTAAGTCAGGGGACTGGACGGGCCAATCAAGCACAGTGAATGTCGTTATCCCCGAACCATCGCTTGGCTTTTCCAGAGGTATGTTTTGGGTCGTTGTCTTGCTGAAATATGAAATCATTATCTTCCAGCATTTTCTCATAAATTGTAACTAAAAAATTGATATTTAATATATCGACGTAGACATCAGCGTCCATTTTGCCATTGATTATTTGGAGTTCACCAACTCCGTTGGCAGTTAAGCAACCCCAAACCATAATGGAACCGCCACCAAATTTACGGTTGGAGTAACATGGTGGTCTTTAATTGTTCACCGGGCTTCTTCCAGCACCATTTGCGTCCGTCCGACCTAAATAATTGGAACTTGCTTTCGTCGGACCAAATTATTTTCCGTCAGTCGTCACTGAGTTTTGATGTATTTTTTTAAGCAATAGCTTTTTTCACTTAATCCTTGCGAATAAATCATTTCTTCTAAACATACACCGTATGCTTTCCACTGAATTTCGACTCCCAGTTCAGCTTGGAGCTCATGTTGAACTTGGACAGCGGTAGTGCATTTTCCAGATGATATTAATCGGATGGCATTCCGTTCGTAATGATCCGAAAGAATGTGTGGACGATCGGATTTTGGTTTATCTTCAAAGTTTCCGGTTCTTCTTTGTTTTTACAGATGTGTTGGACTGAAGTTAAGCCCACCTGTTCCAATAATGCAATTTCCCGGACCGAATATCCTTCTTGTCGGAGAGTGTATATTCGTGAGTGAAATGCGAGGCATTTTGAATTAAAAAATGGTTAGAATTATTGTTTAGAATAACGAAAGTGTTCTATAGATATTGTAGTGGAAAAGAGTGCTTTTATACTTATCTTTATAGGCCTGAACTTTTTCGTCCAAATCGGCCATATTACAGAAACGCTAAGAAAATCATTAACTTGTGAAGTAAAAGATAGATGAAAATAAAATATGCATTAAATGATTGTGATTATTTTAATGAATAAAATCCATTCTTTGATAATTCTTCAATGGCGAGGTGTTCGAACTTCGCCATTTTTTTTCCGCGTTCCGTTTCTTTAGTGAGTCACTGTAAAAGGTAGTTAATTAAACTTAATTGATGTTCGGATCATCACGTGTTCGGAAAATCGATCCTACACTAGCGTTAAGTCAAGTGGTGCTTATTTCTGTGAGAATACGGTAGTTATCAAGGTCTTACATATTTTTCGGGAGGCAATTTCACATATAGGTGGGAAAAATTAGTAACTGCGGGGTGCTAGAGATGATCGTTTGCATATGTCATATTGTTCCTTATTTTGGAAATTCCCACGCGATCTTTATTGACATAATACTGCGCACTTTGACTATCTTTTTACTCCACTAAACACCAATAAAAATGTCGTCCTCCAACGCAATTAATCATTATATCGAAGGAACCGGAACAACTTGTAATTTTTACAAGTGGGAGGACGAACTGGAAACGGATCTTATGAAATCGCCTACTTTTTCCGCCGACTCTGTTAGCACTTCTGGATCGATGACCAATGATCCATTGACTCCACCAGACAATCATGGTTATCGTCATCAACTGCAGCAACACGAACAAATTTATAATCATCATCCACTAAATCATTACGCAAACGCAATATGATTGTCATTAAAGATCTTCATATCATCATCAAGATTTTTCAAATTAGCAACTCATCATCCACCCGAATATAGTCAGGCAGAATATTCTTCTCGTCAAGAACAACAGCTTCAACATACTCGAAGAGAAGATGAATAATTCTAGACAACCGCGCCAGAAGGGTCAATCAACAATCTTTTTATGCAGAATTCTTCGTCAGCGCATATTTACGAGAATGGTTCAACCACAACTAATGAATTGATTCCGCTTCCACCTTCACCAGCACCGGATCCGATTAAGACGTTATAAAAGAGAGGTTAGGAAGGGAGGAACGACGGGCTCGCGCTTTTGAGCAAAGTGCGAAATTCAAAGCAAATTTACTTGCAGAAACAAAGGAGCGATTGGCATCGGTAGAAAATGAAAATGTAATGTTAAAAAGTCGATTGCTGTCTTAGCTGATCGATTTGAGATTCCTGGAATTGACTCTTCTCTTAATATAACCATATTTTCTCGTTCAAATTATCAACTTTTCGCTCATTGTGACTTTTCAAAACTTTAATCTCCTTCATTAATTTCCGTATTCTTGCTTCTTTTTCTTCTTGTCCTCCTTGATAGGTATCTTCGGATTTAAGTATAGATGAACATAATGATGAGGACTTTTTTCCCTTCTCCAATTCCACCAACCTCCTCTTCAAATACTGATTCTCCTCCTCTAATCGTTCCGTTTCCTCCAACTTCCTCTTCAAGTTTTTATTTTCCTTCTCCGTCATCTCCAATATTTAGTTGCGGATTTGGAAAAATTCCGCGAAGAAAACGAATTGCTTGTTCGCGAAAAGAGGCTCATATCCGGAGTACTTGATCGTTCATTATCCTTTACAAATGGTTCATAACTTTGGCTAACACCATTAAACATCGCTTCATGAAAAGAAGTAGTGAACCAGTACTTTCAGGTTGAATTGAAAGCCCTTGACTGCTGGTTCCTAATATGATATCCATGTCGTGGGAAACAGATTCTTTAAGAAAAGACATTTTTGGAACTTTTATTCTTTGTTCAATATTTATTATTGTCGCCGCTGCTATATTGTTTTGATGTGCGAAATTTAATCGCTTTTGTTTTCTTTAGAGTCAATTGAAACGTGCGTATTAAGGAGAGAACTGTAGTTTTTCAATTGCAATCTTCAGGTGACAATAGCAATTATCGTGTGTATATTTGATATTGCGAGCACCCACCCACACACACTTGTCCAATTATACAAAAATACATCGGTTTTTCACGTATCTTCCAATAACATGTGTCGATACTACATTTTTTGGAATGTGGTAAAACCGTATCATCATTATCGTCACTATCATGGTTTCAAAAATAACTATATGATATATATGGATATGTTTGTAATCAACATACTTTTATCGATCTTTGTAAAGTTAACTTTGACTGGCTTAATGCATGGTAATCAGAATCATAAAGCTTTCCTGATTTACATTTTTTCCTGTGCATGGGTTGCATAGCCATTCGCACACAATCAACAATAAAAAAATATATATAGAGATGAAAAGCATAAATCAAACCAAATTCTTACAATTTGACAATGAATTAAATAAAAATGCATTTTTTACATTTGTTTCATATATCGGTACTGTATCGATATATATATTTTCTATCGAGCCCATGTTATATTGATTTTTGGTTATACAACAGACAAAAAAACAACCGTCCCGTCACTTATCGTTATCTAAAATACAAAATTATTATCATCTATTACGCTCAGACAAATAAAAGCGAAGGTGTGAACTACTAAACCTAGTAGGAAGTAGTATCACAAAAAAATAAAAACCACAGGTAGATCAACGACCTGGTTTTTTTGAGACCACAGAATTATCCAGCCCTCATTCGTCACCTATATGCTTGTAATGGTAGTTTGTAGTGAATAACTACTTAATAATCGGTTCTGCTTTGCACAGACCTTATTACTCTTTCTCTCCGCCGTGCTTTCTCCCCCATCATTGTATATAGTGTTCATTTTTTAAATATATTTTTCCGTTGAACTGCCGGACGATCACCAAAATAGGTTTCTTTCGGTCATATACGATATACCAGCTTTCACACAAGTGAAAATGGCACAACCTTATAGAATTCAGGGTAGCAGAAGTGGTAAGCGAATTTTGCCACAAAGCATACAAGACAACACAGGAGTGGCACGAAATCGTTTAAGTCGTAGAGGAGATAGAATTTCACGAACGACAAGTTCTAAAAATTCGTGTCGGAGAGACGTAATTAGCTTCAGCATTGAAGAAGCGGGAGAAACGTCGATGAATAGTAATGAACCAGCATCTACGGTTGAGAAGGTAATTGAGTCGAGTGACAATGAAAAGGAGAAAAAATAATGAACAAATTCAACCTGAAAATTATACCCAAAATTTTGTACAACCCATCTACATTGATATTGTGGATGATGTGGAAACATCGATGAATAATAGAGAATCAGCACCCTCTATTGAAGTAATTGAATTGAGTGACAATGAAGAGCAAGTTCAACCCGAAAATTCCAATAACTCATCTTCTCAAAATGGCACCCAGAATATGATACAACGTATCTATATTATTTCGTGGATGACAATGAAGAGAATGAGGAAAATGAGGGACAAACTGAAATAATATACATTTCAGATGAGGAAGAGCCAAACTAAAGAAGAACGCGAATATTCACCATCACCACGTGAAGGATTCACAACAAATTTGGATAAAGATACGATTGTGATTTGCTCTAGATGAAATCATGGAATGGAGAACGGGATGTGCGTATTATACTGTGGACATGTGGTTTGTGGAGGCTGTGCAAATTTTTGCGCATGACACACTGTTAGCTTAATTTATATAGTTATATTCGCATATCCATTACATCATGAATCAAAACATTAGATCATGTGAAGTATAATTAATAATGGGTTAGTGAGTTTAGTTAACTTCATCTTTTATGGCAAAATTTAATGATATCATAACTTTTAAATTCAATTCGCAAAAAGCAATTATGCTCCGAAGGGTCGAATCGGGTCGGGTTTTGGACATATTCGTATTCGACCCGAGTATAAAAATTAAAATATATAAATACTCGGGTTAGATTTATATAACCCGAACTCGGCTCGGCCCTTAATTAACCAACTTGTACCAACTCGAACTGACTCGAATTTTGTTAAAAAATTTGGATGGTAGCAAACTTGAAAAATACAAAATTTGTCGGTCACATGACTTTTTTAAGGGGTAAACTAATCAAATCGCAAGATATGAATATTAATAGCTTAATGTTAAGGCCAGAGTTCAGATTATATTAAACGTGAGAAGATATACAGTAAAAATTTTGCAAAGAACCTTTTTTATTAGAGCACAGAAAGAAGTTTCATAGACAAAATTTCGAGATACAAGCTATTTTTCTGCTTTGAATTTTCCATTACAGTATCCTTGCGATTTGATTGGTTTACCACTTAAAAATTTCATGTGACTGAGATTGATCATCATAGATGAACATGTATACCGATATGGATTACATCATAAATCAAAACATTAAATCATGTGAAGTATAATTAATAATGGGTTAGTGAGTTTAGTTAACTTCATCTTTTATAGTGCTCTGAAAGGTCAAATCAGGTCGGGTTTGGACATATTCGTATTCGATCTGAGTATAAAATTAAAATATATAAATACTTGGGTTAGATTTATATAACCCGAACTCGGCTTGACTCTTAATTAACTAACTTGTACCAACTCGAACTGACTCAAATTTTGTTAAAAAATTTGGATCGGTAGCAAACTTGAAAAATACAAAATTTGTCAGTCACATGGCTTTTTTAAGGGATAAACCAATCAAATCGCAAGATATGAATATTAATTTTATTAAGAGTTCAGATTGTGACTGAAACTTTTTTTGCCATGTACTATCAATATATAATAATCCTTTGGATAACAATAGCCAAATGATATTATAATTAGTGATGGGAGCTGCAACTAGCTGCAACTCTATCACAATTCTCTGATTGATTACCATAACTTTATCGCAATTCTCTGATTGGCTGTCACAAGCTGCAACTAGTTGAGAAGCTATCTTTAATTATAATATTATAAACTTGGATATATACTCTTAATTCAATCTCAGAAATATTCAAGAGATATGTCAGAAATCAAAAAGAATATTAAAGATACTCTTGGAAAATGCATACATGATAAATCATATAATGTTACTCATAAAGTTTTTTTCATTTACAACTCTGAAGAAGAAGTATTTGATAATAGATTTGAGTTTATACTAATCAAGTTACATCACTTGAACAAGAAAGAATTATTAAAGATTATTAATTAATTT